TTCTCCCTGTCTACCACAATCTCATATTGTCCAAGGCTGCCCAGCCCATTTCCTGCATGGGAAACTTTCTTCCTCTGCATCAGGGTGTCCAGGGAGTGAAGGTCTCCATTTTCTCTGCACCCATCAGCTTCCTTCTGTTCTCACTCTTCTTCCTACCCAGTTTTGAAGGGATGGTCCTCAGCTCTAGTCATGTTCTCCTGGCAATTTTAGTCTTGCCATTCGCACATTCATACCACTCACCTGATAAAAACCCAAGCTCTGGTGAAGTCAGCTCTGGGTTTCTCCAGGCCATGCCCTGAGATGAGCCCCCTGGAGAGCAAAAGGCACACAACCGGGCAGTTCACTGTCCTCGAGATGAGCAGCTGCATGCTCTCCTGTGTGTTCTGTCATAATGAGACTTTTGGTCTAGCTGGATACCATGCGGCCATGGGGAAAGCACTTCGTTTCCCAGCTAGCCCTGGATGCGAGTGTGGTCGTGGGAGTAGGTTTCAGCAGACTGGGAAGACTGTTGAGAGTTGCTACAGAAATGCTTAGAGAACTGACCCAGCTGTCAACTCTGTGCATCGAAGCAGTAGCCCCCCATTTCTGTCTTCTCCCTCACCCTATATATTCTACTAATCACCATGACACCTGACAATTTTACCTTTCTTTTTTTGGGGGGGTGGCACTGGGGATTGAATCCAGCGCCACATAGAGGAAGGCAACACTGTGTCCTTAAACTACACCCCAGCCCAGTTTTCTAATGCTGCTAAAATTTTCCACTGAGATCAGCTCTAATGTCACTACTATGACCCAGGGCTCCCTCACGCCTCATCTTGTAAGACCAAGAGCCTTACCAACCACTCCAAGGAGCTCAACAGCTGCAAGAATCACCCGTGAAGGAGCACACCAGACAAGTTGGAAATGAAACAGACCTTTATTAATCTGGCCAAATGGCACTCCCAGAGCCAAGTAGCTCAGAGAGGCACCAGCTCAGGGGCTGAGGTCTTTTTATAATGGAATACAGGGGGCGTTAACATTCAAAACTTGCAGTCAGGTAACTGATTCGCACTGGGGGCCAGCTGTCACATATTCGGCAGCCACACATTGATGGTTAACAGATGCCTACAGGATGTTCTAAGATCTTAAAAGCATTTCGGGTTTAAGCAGTTTTCCCTGTTGAAGATAAGGAGAGGGTGAAACAACAGTATTTGGGCCATTATCCAGCCAACACGGAATCACTTTAGCTCAGTGAGGTCTCACAATCTGGATTATTCACCAGAGAAGTCTTTCAGGGACCTCTCCCCATGGCTTCCCACCCCGTCCAGCTTCAACATTAGAGCCAGAATAGAATCATCTTTTCTAAACAAATCTAATATTTCACTCTGCTATTTTTGTTGTTGTGGTGGTTTTTTGAGACAGGGTCTCACTACAGTTGAGACTGAACTCACTATGTAGCCCAAGCTGGGCTCAAACTCACAGTGATCCTCCTCCCTCAGCCTCCCAAGTGCTGGGATTACAGGCGTGTGCCACCATGTGCTGCACTCTGCTACTTAAAACTCCTATGGGCTCTCTGTCACTTTTCAGGTGGGTCTTCATCTTACACCAGGTTCCTTTGCTCACTCTCAGAACTTACTGGACTCCCATGTGCTTCTTTCCACCCTGGAGGGTTTATGCAGTTGTTCCCTCTAGAAGGAAAGCTCCTTGCTATTCAGTGTCATCTTTTCTTTTTTTTTTCTTTTTATTGAGTTTATTGGTACAATCTAGGTATACAATACAATTACATTCATCATTGGGATCCTGTACCTTTACATAATAGGTCTTGATTCTCATTTTTTCCCCTTGTCCCTGCCCTTCCTTCACCCCCTACTCCCCTCCCCATTTACAAACACTTTATTTCCATTTTTTCAGTTTCTCATATTTTTTTCCTCTCCCTTATTACCTTTCTCCCACCCTTCCCACTTTCCCTACACCTTTAGCCCTTTACTTCCTATTTCACATTATTAATTATCTTAGTAGGATCCTGTGTACTATTATAGTTTTTCACACCAAAGAAACTATTCGGTATTTCAGTTAAAGAAATCTCTATATGAACATTAAAAATAGGGAACCCTAAAATAAAATTAAAAAGGAAAGTAAAAGACAAAAGGCAATGATGTAACATTAAAATAATCCTTAATTCTAGAGATGAAAATGGTCCCTGAACATATTTAAATTGCTTCTCGCTCTTATAGTCTTATCTTATTCTTTTTTCATTATTTAGAGAATACTTTATTAGTTTCTGTAATCAAACCAACGTAGATATGACCTTACATATTTAGTACAATGTGTTACCCCTGTATACATGGAAAAAAAATAAATTAACATTTCTAGACCAATATGGTTGTCCATTTATGTACAATGCCAAGTTAACACAGTAAATTGGGATGACTTTTTCCAAAGTTGGCAGCACC